ATAGATATAGATATAGATATAGATATAGATATAGATATAGATATAGAATGAGCTAAAGTACTCTCCCAGAATGGAATAAAATTAAAAATTAGAAAGAAAACATGTGTGTTAATATACATACATACATACATACATACATACATACATACATACGGCACTTATATGGTCGTCCCTCACTTATACATTGGGATATATTCAAGATTCCTAGTGGATGCATAAAATCACAGATTGTACAAGACCCTAATACATATTGTTTTATGTTGTCATAACTGAATACCACAGATGAAGTAATTTATAAAGCAGAAAAGTTCATTCAACTTGTGTTTCTGAAGACTGGAAAATTCAAGACCAAGAGGCTATATTTGTTAAAGTCTTTTTCATAGTCTCAAGGCAGTACTGAGGGTCACATGATAAGGAAGATGTTCCTCATTCAAATCTCTTCTTCCTAAAAGCCATTGAATTGAGGCTCTGCCCTTAGGGTCTCATTTAACATTACCTCCCAACGATCAGTTTAAATTTCCAACCTCTTAATACTTCATAATAGAGATGAAACTTGAGTTGTGATGGAGACATTCAAGGTCTAACACACATACATACCTTATTTATTTCTATGCCATCAATTACAATAAAATTTCAAAATATCTTTTGTTCCTCTCCAGAGATTATTATCTGTATTTAAAATAACAATCTTAATATAAGCTTAATATAACAGTCTTAAAATAAGCTAAGCTAATTTTACCCTTTGGGTTGATTCACTTTATAGAATTCTTCGATGTCATTTCATGTTCAACACTTCCTGAATAACACAAAATATACCTTCTTTTATTTATTTAATTTTTTTGGTATTCAGATAATGCAGTTATTAACTCACTGTAGTCATAGAATTAGTAATTCGAGCAAAATTTGCCATCTTTCTTTTGTTTTTACTGTGAACTGAGTGGTTAATTTTATGAATTAACACTTTGAAGACCTAGTTAATAGAAATGGGGTTTTTCATCAGAAATTTGTACAGTGAGCCCTCCATACCTGTAGGGCTATGTCAATAGTTTCAGCTGGAAAATATTTGGAAAAATATTATGTCTGTATAGAATATGGACAGACTTGTTTTCTTGTAGTATTTCCCTAAATGGTGCAGTATAATAGTTACATCGTATTAGATAGTATTGGTAACCTAGAAATAATATAAACTATAAGTTTATATGTACAGCCTGTGTACAAATACATCATATAAAATGTTAAGATACTTGAACATGTGTGGAGTTTGATACCCAAACGGGTTTCTAGAACCGTCCCCATATAAACTGAAGGATATGACATACATACTGTTTTGCATGAAATTTTAGAAGACTTTGAATTATTTGTATCAGGATAGAAATTTAGTTCACAAAAACATTTTATAGGATGTTGTGCATTTCAGGTTTGATTTCTTACATTTTTGTAGTTAGTCTTCCTTCCCTTTCTTTCAGGTGGATACATTGCAAATAGTCTAGCAATTATGACAGATGCACTTCATATGCTAACCGACCTCAGTGCTATCATACTCACTCTGCTTGCTTTGTGGCTGTCCTCAAAGTCACCAACCAGAAGATTCACCTTTGGATTTCATCGCCTAGGTAGGTAACATTAAGTTTCTTTGGCTTATAATATTTTAATATAAAGCCACAATGAGCTATGACACTGATAACCTGAAATATTTAAGGTGATAATGGGTTTGCACAAAACAAATGAAAATATATAATGAGACTAATCCAAAAAGCTATCTTCCATGGAGCATCCCTCTAGGCCTCCCTAAATAGTTTGTACAGAATTATGTGGTTACAGTTACTTTTCAGACATCTCCCTGTGTCTGAAGAGGCTTACTTCTAGTTTATTGAATCAAGCAAAACCATTTGGGTAGCTCACTAATAAGCATTTGCTGCTTCTTTGTGCTTTAAATTTTCCACCTGAAGCCCATATTAAATATTTTCATCATATGTACAACATATACTCTATGACTGACCTTGCCTTGTACCAATGTAACTCAGTAAATACAATCATAATGTTTAATTTAGAAGTGTTTAAAGTCTATATTACCATCTACATAGCTCTGGTTCTTACTGTTGCTGTGGTTCTAAACTTGTTACTTACTCTGACAATATGTAAGATAACTATCTGAACTATTTTATTAAGGGCCTTATCAATAGATATTTGCAAAAAAATTAAGAATTTTCTAGTTTGAAAAGCTCAGCACTTTATAATGCACATTAAAGAATTGAGAGAAAAATAATATTCTTTGCCTTTTTTGAATAAAGAACTAAACACTGGCTATTGCCTTGAGATTCTGTCTAAGGAAGCAGAAAATAGGAATTGGCACTTCATCAATGAACCAAATCAAACACCGTCTGACAGCAGTAAATATCAAGATGGTTTAACTGCAGTTGTTATCTTAATTCTGTTGTGTGGATGTTTTCTGTCTTCTCTTAAAGATCATATTTTCTGGGGCTGGAGAGAAGGCTCTATTAAGAGCACATGCTACTCTTTTTAAATTTTATTTTTAAATAAGGGCATTCTTTGAGTTTTAGACTTAATTTTTTTTTATGTTTATGAACATTTTGCCTGTATGACTATGTATCACTTGTATGCCTGGTACCCAGGGAGGCCAGAGAGGGCATCATATCCCCTGAAACTGGAGTTACAGACAGTAGCAGGCTATGTGGGTACTGGGAATTGAACCCAGGTCCCCTAGAAGAACAGCCTAGTCTCTTCATTGCTGTGCCATTCCTCTAGCCTTACACGAACTGCTCTTGCAGAAAAATTCAGTTCCCAGCACCCACACAGGGCAGCTAACAGCTGCCTGCAACTTCAGCTCCAAGGTGATCAGCTGCCTCTGGTCTTAGCAGTCATTTGCACTTATGCATATACCAACATACAGACACACACTCTCACACACACACAATTGTGGTTTATTGATTTTAGTTGGTGTTTTCGAACATCCGTAAGAGGTATCCTAGAAAGCAATGGCTTGATTCAAATCCTTGCTGTCTCACTTTCTATCAGTCTGATCTTGTGTAAGTTCTGTAACATCTGAATGCTAATAATAGTGTCTCCCACATAAAGTTATTAAGGGCAGTAAGTGGAAAGCATTCAGAATAGTGCCCAGCACTTCAAAAGAACTCTTCACTCTTTATTTAATCTGCTTCACTTATTCTCTCAAAAAAGGTAAAATGAATTCAAGGCTTCTGTGTAACGTGTATGTATGTATGCAGAAAAACCAGTGTAAAACTCTTTAGAATATCCAGTCTTAAAGATATTTGACTAGTTTTATCATAATTTGTTAATAATCTACATCCTGTGGTAAAACAGAATTTGTACTTCTTAGAAGAAAAGAAATGCGGAGGGCCAGCGGGAGAGCTCATCACGCTTCTCTTAGGGCTGTCACCACAGGGTCTTAAATCAGTGTACTTTTTCTTTTCCTTCATGTAAAGCTGTGGATAGTGTGGTTTAGTGTGGATAGTGGATAGATTCTGGTTTTTCTTTACAGTGTGGTACAACAGCAGCACATTTATGTCGGGGGAGAGAGAGGACTGAAGCCTTACGTGTTGTTTTTAAGTGGGCATATCACTTTACTCAGATATAATAAACTTGGGATTTAATGAAACCACAGTGAAAGAAATTTCACAAATTCTCAGGAGGAGAAAGATTCTTTTCCAGTGGGGCAATGTCACTTTGAAGACAGCAGCTGCCCGTTCTTCTCTGCCTCTCTCTGTGTAGATTACCTTAGTAACTGGCTTATGTGGCATCTCTTCCGAATCTTCAGGGACTGATGTAAAGACTAAAGGAAGCTGCATTGTTTGTGTTGAGGTAGAAAGCAGTGTTTATAATGTGGTCATTTAAATCTTCAGCCTGTGTCACTAGCAAGATGATAGTGTGGGTATTGTTCATATGTTTACCGAGCAGAGAGCATGGTCAGAGACCATGATGTGTCTTGGACAGCATTTGGCTACAGCACTAATTCTATGTAGTTTGTTGCTTTATCCCCCAATGCTGGAGGGACAGAAAGCATTAATTAAAATTTTCCTTTATACAAGTATCAAAAAAAAAATCCTTCTACCTAGTTGTGATTCATTTTAACAGCTTCCTCCTACCTATAACAAAATCTGTGCCTTTTATTATTCATAACTTATTGCAAGTTTAATCACATCACATAAACTTTTATAGGAAAAAAACTGAGTTCTAGTTCTAGAAATGGGAGTTTAAATAAAGGCATAAGGAAGACATGAATGAAGTGGTCAGCATTGGATAAATCGCATGGCCATAGTTGGCACCGTAGCATGGTGGAGGGAGTAATAAGAAAGCAGCAGGAGGAGACATGATTTGGAATAAAAGGGGAAACCCAAAGACAGACTGTGGACTTCAGATTGGCATTCTGTAGTGACCCTGGGCCACTGAAAACTCCAATAACTTCAGCTTGAGTGCAGTTGGAGGTCCCTGGCTGAGATAAAAGACAAACAATAATTTGGAAGTCCTAAGTAAATCCAACACACATGCCTGTTGTTTTCATCCTATCCTCAATTGGAAGAAGGCAGGAAAGAGTGAAAATGAAAGTGGAAGAGAGGATATCTCTCTGTTCTTACTTATTTCTATAGATCTCTAGAACATGCCTTAGATATTTGCTTAGTTCTTTGTGACAATAGAAAGACAAGTGCCATGTAATTTTAGTGAAATATGCTTGTTGATGGCATCATACCATTAGCAAAGTCAACAGTTATGCTATACCAGCAATTTTGTAACACCCACCAATACATACATGCTTCTGTTGTGGTCTACATAGTTGAGACAAATCATTATTCATTCACTCAATGGATACCCAACAGTTACTACTGAGTGAGTGAATAATAGGATGAGGAGACATGGTGACTATTGTATGCACATAGATACAAATATAATCACAAATTGTAGTAAATGCTATAAAAAGAAAAAGACACTGTGCTAGAGAATAACAAAGGATCCAGTATTTTCACCTTTTCTTTGAAGCTTCTACTTTGGCATTTACAAGCATTTTTAAATGTATACTAACTTTCATATTTTATAGTACAATCAAACTTGATAGCCTTGTATATTTTATGTGTAGCTCACTTAAATTTTCTTTTTCAGCAGTTACTGGCCATTCAGATGCAAACTGTTTATTCTCTGTGTGGGAAAGGCAATGTGTATGCTTTGATCATTGACATCTGTTTCTATTTTGCCTGAATAAAAGATCCTAGAAAGCTAGATATGGTGACACGTGTCTGTAATCCCAGTACTTAGGAGACTGAAAAAAGAGGAAAACCCTCAGTTCAAGGCCGGCCCCGGTTGTGTACCAAACCAGTTAGGGATACATAGTCAGACCTTGTCTCAAAAAAAAAAAAAAAAAAAGTGCTGTCCTCAATGGCACATGCCCATAATCCCAGCCCTGGGGAGACAGAGGCAACAGGATCACTGAGACTTTGAGGCCAGCCTAGTCTATAGCACATTCCAGGCCATTCAAGAATTGTTTAGACCTTGTCTAAAACCAGAGCAAAACAAAATCAAGATACCGAACAGAAGACTTGTAGTCACACTTCTTATTCTTCTCCAGTTGTTTAATTTAGCCATGTAGAGGATTTCATTATATGAATGCAAAGTAGAAAATATGTTATTACTGTGAAGCTAGACTTTGGGACTTCCATAAAAGTGTTCTTTCAAGCTAGTGGTGTCACACCCTTTAATCCCCAGTACTCATGAGGCAGAGGCAGGTGGATCTCCAAGTTTGAGGCCAGCCTAGGACAACTAGAGCTACATAGAGAAACCTTGTTTCAGAAAAAAAAAAAAAAAAAAAATCTTCTTTCAAGAATGTTTAGGGACTGGAGAGATGGCTCAGCAGTTAAGAGCTTGGCTACTGTACCAGAGGACCCAAGTTCAATCCCCAGCACCTACATGGAGGCTCTCAAGTGTCTATAACTCTAGTCACAGGATCCAGTGGCCTCTTCTGGCCCCTGCAGGCACCAGACAGCACAGGCTACACATACAGCCATGCAGGCAAAACACCCATACAAAGTAATAAAATAAGATTTCCTTTTATTGTAGTTGTTATTGAGAATTTGACCATTTCTTCCTATGATAGATTACTCTTTATTTCCTTACCTCTTTTATAAAATTCCTTTTCTTACCCATTTTTTTTCTATGGGTTATTTCTTTTGTTGTTGTGCCGTTCAGACCAGGTTCCTGTGTCCCAAGCTGGCCTTAAACTCAATGTGCAGTTGAGCATGAGGACCTTGGGTTCCGTTTGAGCTCATCTTACAGGTGATAAGATTGCAGATGCACCTCCAGACCTGAATTAAGCTAGAGACCAACCCAGGGCTTGATGCTGAGCTGTATCACAAGCCTGCATCACACTTTTAAGTGTGCTTATTTTGTTAGAAAAGTCCTCTGCAGCCACATATTTCCATTTTTTTATTTCTATCAGTTTTACCGTGCGAATGACCCGTAAATATTCAGTAATTTGGGATGTAAATAGAGGGTGGGGCTGAATTAGTTAAGGATCTAGATCATGCAAGCTGTTAAATACTTTAAGTAAGAAAAATGTTGTGTGGTAAACACAGTAGTGCTTTTACCTCCTTAGAGAAAAGAAAATGTAAGCAAAAGATTGAACAGTGTCTAGTTAGTATGAAGTATAGCAGCTGTGCTAAAGATGCATGCGCTTTCCATCTTTCCTTCTAGAGGTGTTGTCGGCCATGGTCAGTGTGATGCTGGTTTATGTACTCATGGGATTCCTCTTATATGAAGCTGTGCAGAGAACCATCCATATGAACTATGAAATAAATGGCGACATCATGCTCATCACTGCAGCTGTTGGAGTTGCAGTTAATATAATGTAAGTACAATATTTGTTCACATAATATGACCTAAAAGATTATTGTGCATCCATGTATTCAAACTGAAATATTTTCATATTTAACAACATAGCATATCAGTTTTACATAGAAGTATAATAGAGCATTGTAAACTTATTAGCTTGCTCATGTGTCTCAAACTAAGACATGTGTCTCCTTAAACTAAGGAGTTTAAGTAGAACCAAGTATGTTGTTTAGTATTTGGTACTTTCGTGTTAGCTTTATTTTAAGGGGTTTTCCTGCATTTATTTCATTTGTGTGGGAATGCACATACATGCTATTATGCACAAAGGGAGGTCAGAGGACAACTTCAGGAGTCATTTCTCTTTTTTGACCATGGGGTTCCAGGAATCAAACTCACATTGTCAGACTTAGCAGCAAGCACCTTTACCTGCTGAGCCATCTCACCAGTCTGTTACCTGGGATTTAAAATCACTGTTCCCTCCTCAAAACTACTGAAATAAGTTCTATACTTAATCATGTAGAGTAGAAGTTAGTAGACTTCCTATAAAGGATGGGTGGGGTTATGGCTAGAGCTTGGTAATCAAGCACTCCCTAGCATGCATGAGGTCCTCGGTTGATTTGGGCACTTTGAAACAGCAAAAAGGCTGGTTAGTAATTGTTTTAGGTTTTAAGGGCCACAGTTTCATTTGAAGTGATGGAATATTGGTGTTAAGAATGAAAACTCATATTCACTGTGTGAACAAATATGTATACCTTAATAAAACTTTATCTTTAAAAATATAGCCAAATATGGTCTAGTGGCCTTAGTTCACAAATCACTATCTATTGGCTTCTATTCAAAGTGAGAATGAAAATTAGAAGTCTCTGCAATTGCATTTTACCATAAAACCCTATGTAGCCCTCCTATTTATCTCCTAGAACTTCCTGCTTTCCTTGTTTGAACCACAATATTGTCCTTTTTCAAATGCATGAAGCACATTTTCCTTTTAGGCCTTTGCCTGCTATTCTGCCTAGGATACACACCCACCATTTGCTCTTGACTTCTGTAAGTCTCTGCTCAGATGGCATCTTAGAGAGCTCTTTCGTGCCCACCCCACCCACCTACCCAGTCCCTTGGGACTTCATCTTCCAGACTTCCACAATGCTGTATACAAAGCTGTTTCCAAGGCATTTCATATGTCAGTGTGTATTTGCTTGCACCTCTGATGTCCCATCCAGAACATAAGCTCCATGAACTTAAAACAATACTTGCTGTGTAACAGGTACTTAAATCCTTATTATATGACTGTTCTGCATCGCTCCATTACTGACTGAATAAAACAATAATTTTAGAGAAATAATGTATTTTCTTTCATTTTTAACAGAATGGGGTTTCTGTTGAACCAGTCTGGTCACCACCATTCCCACTCTCATTCCCACTCCTTGCCTTCAAATTCCCCAACCATGGCATCTAGTGGACACAGCCATGGGCAGGACAGCTTGGCAGTGAGAGCTGCGTTTGTACATGCCCTGGGGGATTTGGTACAGAGTGTTGGTGTGCTTATAGCTGCATACATCATACGATTCAAGGTAAATTGTGCACTTCCTATTGCAAAAAAATTTAACTTGAGTATTTAAAAAGCTAGTTGCCTCTTATCAGTGTACCAGACACTAGTGCTTTTCTATTCATTTTCACTGGTGTAAGATTAATTGGTGTAGTCAGTTACTATCAATAAGCACAGTGGGATCACCTTGCCAGCTGATTTACCTGTAGTTGGCTTTGATAGCATCTTCACTGTAAAACTCAGTGTTAAACCTTGTCACCGAACCACTAGGTAATAGGCTATGTTCTGAGGTTCTCATCTTTGCAGCCACTCTAAATTTTAATTCAGTCCTCTTCAATATGAGTATTTGAATACAGATGGCTGATACAATTCTTTCCAGCTTCAGTATCTTATGCTTCTGAGTGAAGGATTCAGAGAAGTCACAGAAGAGAATAGACACAATGATTAAACTTCTAGAAAAGACACACGAGGCAGGCAAGTCATTTGAACAATCTTAAGAGTAAAGATGTTTCTTAATTACAGTATCCAAGTTTTAAAATTATTTTCCAATCCTGAAAAAGAAATAGAAAGAGCAGGGACATATGCCTTGCTTCACTTTGTAGTGTGATTTAATGTCTGTCTATGCTTAGTCATACAAATTTAATCTATTGCCTTTTAGCCAGAATACAAGATTGCTGATCCCATCTGTACATACATATTTTCATTACTTGTGGCTTTTACAACATTTCGAATCATATGGGACACAGTAGTGATAATACTGGAAGGTAAGCACTCATTAATACCCTACTGTGGATTTACCCCCTTCCTAGTAGAGACTGAGTCAGAGGATGCTCTGGACAGGAGCCACATCTTGCATTTTACTGATACTCTCTTTACATAGCAAACAAGCTGTGCAGTCCGTGGGTCATGCACTTGATCCCTACATTAGGTAAAGCAGTCAGGTGACTTCTGACATTTTCAAACAGAAAAGTGTTATCCCAGCTAGGATAGAGTGCAGCTTTTGATTCTTTGCACAGTGATGCCTTGTGGTTTTTATTTAATTCCTTCATCTCATGTAATTTGTGTCTTTGTTAAACTTTTGGCATCTTTGTCATATTGAAAGCATGAAGACAAAAGTTCTCAGCAATAGCTTTTCATTATCAAATGTTTCTAAGCTGGACACGGCAGCACATACCTGGAATTCTACCACTCAGGACTCAGAGGAAAGTGAGCCTCTGTGAGTTCAAGGTCAGCCTGATCTACATAGGGAGGTCCAGGCTAGCCCAGGACTACATAGTGAAACCATGTGGGGGAGGAGAGGATAATTTTTTCCATCCTAGCTTATTAAGGTTAAGCTACGTGTTCTAACTTGATTGCCACTCCATTTTTGTGAGAATTGACATTTTTAAAGTATGTATTGATCTCTTTATATTTCCTATATTTTTGTAAGAATGTCCATAATTTATCATAAAGTACAAACATAGCATAATGAATCCATTGGAACTGAATTTGAAAAAAACAAAACAAAACAAAACATTTGTTTTCTTTAAATGTAACATAAAACTTTCCTACCAATGTAAACTTATAAATTATACTATTCCAAACTAATAGGTGTACCAAGCCATTTGAATGTAGATTATATCAGAGAGTCGTTGATGAAAATAGAAGACGTATATTCTGTGGAAGATTTGAATGTCTGGTCTCTTACTTCCGGAAAATCCACTGCCATTGTTCACATGCAGCTAAGTATGTTGCTTATGGGGTTCTCAGGTATCTGTCCTAGGAGCCAACATCTGAGCTTATCATATGTGTGATAAGCTTATCTGATAGATTTAAGGGAGGGATGAGACTCTTTGGAAAAGGATAACAAGGGCTGGGAAGGTAGCTCAGAGCACTGGCCCCTACCATGCATGAGGCCCTTTGTTCAATTCCCAGAATTCCAAGTAAATAATATTTAATGTTTTTGCTTCTTTGAGAGAAGATATTACAAATTGATATCTACCTGCATTTTAAAGACACTATATACATTTGCTGTGTCATCTTTTATATAATAAAAGCCAAAACTTTTATTTAAACCATTTCAGAACTTGATGGCTTTTTTAAATCAAAATAATATATGCATTTAATTCTTTCTTAAGGAGCATGTAAGGTCTTTAAGCAAGAGGCTTGTAACTGTTTCTAGCATTATTTCTATTGAGCATGGACTGGATAGATGAAATAGTGAGAAGCTCTTCTGGGCTTATAAACTGCCTTCTGCAGTAGAAAGGCTCAGAGAAGGAGGAGTCAAATGAGCATGTGCTTGTAGTGTGCTATTCTTTCTTCTCTGTATCTCGTTTACAAATGTATAGCAGTGCACAATAAAGAATATGATGTTTTCTTGATATTGCAGTTCCTGGAAGTTCATCAAAATGGGAAGAAGTACAGTCCAAAGCTAAGCATTTGTTACTGAACACATTTGGCATGTATAGATGTACTATTCAGCTCCAGAGTTACAGACAAGAAGTGAACAGAACTTGTGCAAATTGTCAGAGCGCCAGTACTTGATTCTGTGTACTTGGGGTCCACAGCCTTATTTATCCTGCAGTCACAGGCTTGAGAGCAATAAATGCAAACATGCAGAGTTCCTGACAGCTGTGTCCATGTCAAGCACCAATCTCTCAAAAAACAGTCACTCCAGTCTGACTGATATCTGCATGATTTTCAGACAGAGTTCCAAAGTACTGTTTACAGAGTGAGCTGTAACTCTACAGATACCTCATAGAAGACAATCCAAGACGATACTTCATCCATTTGACAGAGTACACAAAATGTACAGGAAGACTCAGAATTCAGTATTTGCATCTAAAACTACTTTTTTTCAGGCCTTTTATAAAGACGTCAGTGCTAGCAAACTCAGTGTTGAATTGTTCAGGATTTTTGTCTCTGTGTAATCTTGACATCCAGTTTCTGGAATTGTGTTCTCTTTTTATAAAAAATTAGCCCTCAACAGAATTCAGAAAGTAATAATATCCAGAAAACGGAATAAGCATGTATTCCTAAGTGTTTCCGAACTGTTTTATTTCACAAATAACTCTTAATGTTATTATTGAAGTCATACTTTATAAGCAGATTTTCCAGATATTACTAGGCTTTGAACCTCAATGTTTTTGATTATTTGTAATATTGTTAGAAATATTCACATAATGTCACTGTCCTTAAGTTATTTAGGAAATTTTAATACAATTAAGAATGAGTTAGATTTAACCTCAAATTACTTTACCATATGATCTAAAACAGAGAAGCAAATGGTAGAGTATGGAGTTTTGGATTTCTGTTTTCCCTGAAGATCACTCCTGTGTTTTGTGTAGAATTGTCTTAAAAACAGTAAGAGACAACAAAGTTTCAATGGTTACCCATTGTCCTTTTCAGAACTGCCAACGTTTGCTAGTAACTGTTTGCTTACTATGTTGTTCTCATGTGTACACCAGGCAGTCTACATGCGTCTTTCAGAGCAGCTATGGAAGGCTAAGGCCGAGTTTATTACTGCCTACCGCGTGGAGTACCCTTGTTACTCCAGAGAGAATTTCTTTTCTATGGAATAAGCGAGGGGTTCTCCATGGATTACAAAAACCCCCAGGACAGTCTTCAAGTTTTACCGTAGTGCCAGAGCAGAAAGATGCAGAGGAGTTGGGTGGAGAAAGTTCTCTGGGGAAACAAAAAGTAAAGCATTTTTGGTTGTTGTTTTTACCATGTGTGCACAAAAGAACTGAAATGAGGATGGACATTATTTGGTCGTTAAAGCTGTGTCTGGGGAAGCAGTGTAAGTATTTCCCATCTCAAGGGAACAGAGTTGGCAGCAGTTGTGTTAGAGACAGCCATGAGTATCCATATTTCATTCCCAGCAGTTGCTTTGATTTCAATGTAAACACTTTAAGTGGTTCCTGGCTCCCCTGAGAATCCAAGTAGAGTAACAATGTCCCAAACAAGTTGTGAATTGAAATCCTAGGAATCCAAATGATGTGTAAATGAAGAGAGGGAAGTGGATTTTATCTTCTTATTGCAGACTTTCCCTGTGTGTAAAACTGAAAGAAGAAAATCTGGATTTACCCAAAAGATTGTTGGGAATTGATAGGATCAAAAACCAGCTAATGTTACCTAATAAAACTAAGTGGATGTTTGTTGAATTCAAAATTTACTTTGAAAAAAAGTTTACTTCCTCAAATTTTTATTGTGAGGCCATTTAAAATTGTAAGTATTTGAATTTCAAAATTTTTTAGAATATCAACTAAAAAAAATTAAAAATAAACAAGAATAAGCATATGAGTAAATGACTGGCATTTAGGTGGCTGCCTGAGCATCTGTGGCCTTAAGTATCTAGGAAAGAAAGAGAAAATGTGTATTTTATATTTAATATTTCCCATGTCATTTGCACTCATTTCTTGTAAACATCCATTTACCATAATGTGTGCATATCTGGATTTTCATACTGACTTGTTTCTTAAGTTATTTGGTAAAACAGCCTAAAAATCAATTTGAATATAGAAAAACGTTTTCATAAAATACAGAAACACTGAAAAAACTTCTGTTAATCTTAGCTATCATATTCTGCTCCAAGTGGGCATACTTGAAGGCTGTGCTTTAGTTTTGTAGCAAGAGCTAGGCTTTATACTTTACTGGGTTCACAAGATAGAGAACTGGTAGACTTTACTTTTTAACTTGTCAAAACCCATAGATGAGGTCATTAACACAACTGTGAGGTCTGACCTGTCTTTTACCTGTTGAACCACAATGCACAGTGGTGCGACTTAGCTAGCTGGGAGCTCTTTGCTCTGAGAAAAGCAGGATGCCGTGCTGATCTTGCACTGAGACACACCACAACACGAAAGGTTGGCAATTCTCCAACTTTGGAATAGCCTAAGGGAGTATTTGCAGATAATCAGTTACTGTGGACATTAACCTGTGTGTCACAACTCAAGCCCTTTGCAGTCTTTTGTTTTAGGAAGACTGTCTGAGTGACAGTCTTGCTGCCTTAAGAAACATACCGAGAATGCAGTTGCAAAAGATGTAATTGATAGACAGAACCTGAAGCTATTGTAATTCTTATGTACAGCTATGTTAACTTTCCACAGCTATAGCTCTTAATGTGAACACAGATTTTCACATTCACAGCTCGTCTCAGCATTGTTTACCAGGTCCCTGGATTTCTTGGTTGACTGTTTCTTTTCATTTTGGGGTAGGGTTTTTCTTTCCTGTCTGACATGTTTCCCGATTATATGATGCTCAGTATTCTGTCTTAAGCCCAGGTGGTGTCTGTGTTTGTCTTCAGGAAATCCTTTCCCAGAGTGGACACAGTGAAGAACAGATAGATAGAAGAGCTTCTCTCTCATTTTGAAGAAAGAATTGTCAGCCAATAGTTAGAAATACGTTTCCAGGTGAGAACAGCTTTTAAACAGTAGATCATCTCCTGTCCAGGATGTCTGCATGTGAGCTTAGGAAAGAGTGTGGGATAGAAATAGACTGAGCAGCCACTGTGAAAAATTTTGAGTTTCTCAAAATGCAGGTCAGCACTCTTGGAGATTTTGGTCCTGAAGCATACATCAGCTACACCTGGCTTTATGTATTTATGATCATTGTCTCATCGTCATATGTTCTTATAGAATCTGAATCCTTTTGAAGTACAGTTCTAGGCAGAATGTGCCTCCAGAATGTGCCCCTATATACAATACCATTTGATTCAGTTCATCTTTGAACCATGCTTAGTTATAAATGAACAGTGACATCTCACTACTGTGTTGAGGGGAAACAAGTCTGATCTCTAGGTAATTGGCTTAATATCTCTGTAGCCAGAAGACCATTTGCAAACTCTAACTCCAACTCCAACTCCGTCAATTGGATCCTATGGGCCAAGGCTTCAGATTTGATTTTGCAGTTAGATATATTTGTGATATCAGTGGGAGCATGCAAACTGGAGAAAAGAAATTGTGGGAATTCCTCAGTATTATGTGTCTCAATTTAGGCAAGCCAATTCTTGGTTACAAAAGCTTTGTTGGTGACCAGCAGTCATTTTCTGATTTTTTTTTTATTAAGATTGGTAAATATTTATGGAGACTTTGCCAGCTAAATGCATGACAGTGTCAATTTAAATAGTGCAATCAAGAATATCCTGAAATAAATGCAACCCAAAGTTGAAATGTGCCAGGATGCCCCTTTTCTACCCAGAAGATACCTTGTATTTGGAAAGTGTCTGCCTCTCTAAATAAATATTGATTAAATAAGCCATATCACAGTTTAAGAAATTGTATATACTTTCCTGTATGCCCCTCCAAAAACCAAGTATTTTGCATATGATTGATTTTAGAAAGATTTTGAAGCTGGGGTTTATCTGTGTAATGAAGATCAGATTCTTTGTATATGTACTGTATTCGCAATTTTCAAATGAGATTTCCTATATGATTATTAAATAAAGTGTTGTTTTGCCTCGTGGTTTATTAACTTAAAATGTACAGTCTCCTAAATTTCTGCTGTTTTCATTAATTAATGGTAGAAAGCCTTAAAACATTCTTATGTAGCTTTGTAATCTCAAACTTCAGTGTCCTCTTCAGTATTTTAGAAATAAGCCTTTTTTAAAAAAAAATCTCCTAGATAGGATAAAATATTAAAAGAACCTCTCTCTCTCGGTGTCAGTCACTTGTAATGCCCTCCACTGACAGAAACCTGCAAAAGGGACAGAAGCTACCGTGAAAGTCAGACTGTGTCTGGGCCAGTGGTGAAAACCCTCCCTGCCCAGATCTTGCTGACAGCCATGTGGATTTTGCCTCTCTAAATGCTTTTAATCAGTGTGCTATTTCATGATGTGGAGATTATGTGAACACTAAATTCCAGTGGCCATCATGTCCCTGGGAAAATGTTTTACTCATCGAGCTTTGTCACCGTGGCTGCTCTCATGCTGCCATGGCAGAGTTGAGTAGCTGTGATGAAAGCCCTTACCGTGGGAACTTGGTAGGAAAAGTTTGCCATGTCTCGTTGTACATTGTTACACCTTTGAAAGACTGAAACAGCATGATGCAGGACTCCTACTTGGAAGCTGGTGTACCTGATGAAACGTAAGCATCTTTTACAACCAGTTCTTTCCTTGGTGTGTTTTAACCACTTTTGGGTCCAGGGCAGAAATAGCTGAGTAGCAAGATTTCCCACCTTACCACCTACAGTGTTCTCTTCAAGTTTCCACAGAGCAGTGTGCATGGCACATCCTCACCACAGCCAGGAAAGCAGACTTCCAACAAAAAGGTTACACTTTTAAATTCTCACTTGTTATAACAAAAACTAAGTAAAATGTAATAAGACTATGAACAATGGGAAGTCTACAGTCTTGTGACTATAATCCACATGCTTCATGTTTAAGATTGTGAGATTTAGAAATCTACAGAAGATACAATCTTTTGAGCAGTATTGTGGTTTAACAGACTTCATGTGGCTTTTACAGAAAATTACAAACTGCACAGTTCATCCGTGGATATTGCCCAGTAGACACCAAGATGATACTTCAGGGTTACCAAATAGCTCCATGTCTCCTGTCCTGGCAGACATGGTTTTCAAACGTTTGTTCTGGTTTCATTTTCAAATTCCTTTGGTCTGTGTTTTACTTGCCAGTTTCTGCACATTGGTTTGTGGGGGTTTGATTTGGTTTTTGTAATTTTTCATTTTAACAAACTGCTGACGATACAGAGAAAATGAGGCCTGGGAAAGAGCTCAGTGGCAAAACACTTGCCTACCTTCCACAAAGCATGGATTCAAGCCTCAGCGCCACAAGAAACAGACAAGATATGTCTGACAAGATATGTATGTGGGTTGGTTTTTTCCCCAAAAAAATATATTGTTTCTTGGTAAGAGAGTAGTTTGGGGGATTTTTTTTTTTTTTTTTTAAGTAGAAAAATGACAACGGCCTCATGAGAATAAGCCTAACCTTAAAGAAAAACCACTTGGCCCCCTCAACTTCCTTAGAGGACCCCACCATTTCCTGCCACCTGCCTCCATTTCCTACCCAGAGGAAACCTGTTAACTACTTAAAGGATTGCAGGGACAGTGATGCTAACTATGACCTCATTCCTGCCATGAAGAGGACCTGGAGGAAGATAAGGTGTATTCTCTGGCCAACCACTCACTTATCTGTGCCAACTGCAGGGGAAATTCTTAATCAGGCCCTTAATCAGCTACAGCTTGCATTTCAGTATTGTCAGAACACAGTTCATTCTGTTCTCCCTGTGCTTCTTTGAGTGAGTATATTAAGCAAAGACTGAGATACTTTTAAAACCCTAACAAAAAGCATTATGTAACTTAGAGTGTACTGGCCATGGCTGTATATTTGACTCTAGAAGCCCTTCTCTAAGACACTGTGACTGGAATTTGGTATCTCAAAAGGTCGTCTCATTAGTATATGGGAACTATTTGCAAACCTTCCATTTCAAGATCCTTTAACTAAAAATTGACTAAATTAACTAAAGACAACCTTCCTACCACCAAACCTGGTGTGAAGCAAGCAGGACACAGAGTGTTCTGGGCTATTAAATTAAATAGGAAATAGTGTTATATTTGGGGGCATCTTGGACCATACCCTTCCCCCATCCTGGATGGCTTCAGAACCTGACCCACAGGATAAAGTTCATTCTCTTGGAAAAGTCTCAAAACCCTGATCTGGTCACCACTTTCCTGACCACCCACTGCCACATCTTCTCCACTGCCCACTATCCTGCCTCCTACGTGTCAGTCATGCCAAACCACAGCCAGCTTTGGCCAGCATGGGGAATCCATCATTGCTTGTATTTGTTCGTCTTTGTGCACTTGAGATGCTGTTCTCTGTGCCCTACACTATCTTAGGTGGTCCCCAGGATGCGACTGTGAATTCATATGGCAATCCTCATCAGAAGAGGATAGATGACTCTCCCAAAGTCCTGTAGGGAGAGTTGCAAAGCAAGTGTAGGTCACACACAACAAACAGTTGTAATTAGTAAGATGCAACTCGAAAGGGATCTGGTTGACTGATGTTGTAAAAAATCATGACTAGGTTTTAGGTAACATAGAAAAGTAATGGAAAACAACAGTTCAGTAGCACTCTCCAAAGTCACATGCATATTTGGCTGCTCCTGCAGATATGATGATGATGATGATGTAGCCATAGTTTGCTGTGTTAGGTCACTGGAGGAGGGGAGAGCACCAAACTAGTATCAAATACTAGTATTCCTGTCACTTTGTGTTCCTCTCGTCAGTCCTCACTACTGCAACTCCAAGGCTTCTCTTTTCCTTTGCTCTCTAACCAGCCTCGGCTTTGCCACTGGGGTGTTGTATCCTTGATTGGTCTTGTCTTTGCTAGGAGGAAGTAATTGCACATTACAGTGAACCTTCCATGGTACTCAGTGGTCATAGCAACACCCCCACAAAACAGAAGGGACCAGACCTACAGCTGAACCATCACCAAGACAAGATAGAAAACAAACCACTCAGAAATGATTCGTGGAGCAGGAGCCCACTAAAAAAAGAGTAAGCCTCTGCCAAGTCACCAAACTCTGAGGAAAGTCAGCATTCAAGGTTAAAGTTGATCTCATCTTGATGACTGGATAAGATAAAGCAGACAGCAGTAGAGTTAGTTACGAGGTTGCCCCAAACCACATACATATTTTTATTATGAGTTCACGGTGACAACCTCACTCAAAACAACCTGGCTCTGCTCCGTCTTGACTCCCTCCTCAGAGAGACAAGGAAAACCACTGACTTCTCTACGCTCCAGTTTCTTCATCCATAAAATGAGGGTAGCACTTGTCCTGCTGACTGCCTCTTCCTCCTACTCCACCCTGCCTGTAGGAGGCTCTCCTCCCACCTACCTCTTGGTGCAGACCCAAGATTTTCCTTAACTATTTCCCAACAGCCTTCTCAGCCTTTTCATTTGTATCTGTTGTCGTCTGCCGAAACATTTTCTGCCAGGGATCCGCAGGGGCCACACTGGGCCGGAATGCAGGTAGGAGGATTTATCTATCATTCCTCTGCTCGATTCCAGTCTTTCCTGAATTACTCTTAGTCCTGTACAGCCAGCCTACAGAAGCCCTCCCTGCCATCCTACCTCTATTCCCTAGGGAATCTTACTCTTAGTGAAGACCCGAGTCTCCCTAGCTCTTTCCCGCTGTCTCTCTAGGTCTTTCCTCCTAGCCTGTTTTCATTCTGCCAACCCAAAGAAGCACTCTCTTCCAGGGACTCCACAGCTATCACACTAGCCTAGAATCCAGAGAGCAAAAGCAAACAAGGAATGGAGCATTCACCCAACAAAGACAAAACCAAATATCTATACCACAAAACACTCCAAGTATCATAATTCTAGATGACTAGATCCCAGTGCAAAAACACAAGCATGAAAGGGCAAGGCAATATGCCTCATCCAGAAGCCCTATTGCAACAGGTCCTGAAATAATCAATTTAGCTAAAGCACAAGACAAGGACTTTAAAATGGCAACTATGACTGTCTAAGAACCTTAGCCAGGCATGGTGTCCCATGTCTTTAATCCCAGCACTGAGGAGACAGAGACAGGCAGGTCTATGAGTTTAAGGTCAGCTTAGTTTACAGAGTGATTTCCAGGACAGCCAAGGCTACAGAGAAACCCTAAATTTAAAAAACAAAACAAAGGAGTGTAAAGAGGATATGAATAAATGGCCTAATGAAGACCTTGAGAACACAGTCATATGAAATAATGAAATCAAGATATGAAAGTAGAAATAGTATAACTAATGAAAATACAAGCTGAAATAAACTAGAAATGAAAGTCTTGGAGGAGAGTATCAAACAAAAACCTCACTGGTAAGCCTCACCATCAGCTTGCAACAAGTGGAAGTGAGACTTTCAGACCTTGAAGACAAAGTAGAAGAAATGATTAACTCAGCCAAATAAAATGTTAAATCTGAAATAATTACAAATAAATAAATAATAAATCCAGATACAAAACTTTCAGGAGATCTGGGAGTCTATGAAAAGACCAAGCCTACAAAAAAAAGAAAAAAAGAAAAAAAAAGAAAGAAGAAAGAAAAAAAGAAAAAGAAAGAAAAAGAAACCCTAGACAAAGGCACGGAAAATATTTTTAACAAAAGTCACTGAAGAAAATTTCCCCAATCTAAGGGAGATGCCTATCAAGGTACAGAATTGTCCAAAACAATTCCCCACAACATACAATAAGCAAAACACTAAATGTAAAAAAAAAAAAAGGGAGGAGGGATGTTTAAAGTGTACTGGAAAAGATCAAGTCACATGTAAAAGCAGATACATTAGAATAACACGTGACTTTTTAATGGAGACTCTGAAAGCCAGAAGGGCCATGTTCTACAAACTCTTGAGAGACCACAGATACCAGCCCAAACTACTACACCTAGCAAAATTATCAATCATAATCAACAGAAGGGGAAAATTCTCTGACAGAACCAAAATTAAGCAATTTCTATTTGCCAATCCAGCTCTAGAAGACA